TCACCACCGCTAAGCTAAAGGTGGCTAATGTTGGTCTATAAAGGAACTACAGCACGGTCACATGACTTCACGTCACCACCGCTAAGCTAAAGGTGGCTAATGTTGGGCTATAAAGGAACTACAGCACGGTCACATGACTTCACGTCACCACCGCTAAGCTAAAGGAGGCTAATGTTGGGCTATAAAGGAACTACAGCACGGTCACATGACTTCACGTCACCACCGCTAACCTAAAGGAGGCTAATGTTGGGCTATAAAGGAACTACAGCACGGTCACATGACTTCACGTCACCACCGCTAAGCTAAAGGAGGCTAATGTTGGGCTATAAAGGAACTACAGCACGGTCACATGACTTCACCACCGCTAAGCTAAAGGTGGCTAATGTTGGGCTATAAAGGAACTACAGCACGGTCACATGACTTCACGTCACCACCGCTAAGCTAAAGGAGGCTAATGTTGGGCTATAAAGGAACTACAGCAAGGTCACATGACTTCACGTCATCACCGCTAAGCTAAAGGAGGCTAATGTTGGGCTATAAAGGAACTACAGCACGGTCACATGACTTCACGTCACCACCGCTAAGCTAAAGGTGGCTAATGTTGGGCTATAAAGGAACTACAGCACGGTCACATGACTTCACCACCGCTAAGCTAAAAGAGGCTAATGTTGGGCTATAAAGGAACTACAGCACAGTCACATGACTTCACGTCACCACCGCTAAGCTAAAGGTGGCTAATGTTGGGCTATAAAGGAACTACAGCACGGTCACATGACTTCACGTCACCACCGCTAAGCTAAAGGTGGCTAATGTTGGGCTATAAAGGAACTACAGCACGGTCACATGACTTCATGTCACCACCGCTAAGCTAAAGGAGGCTAATGTTGGGCTATAAAGGAACTACAGCACGGTCACATGACTTCACGTCACCACCGCTAAGCTAAAGGAGGCTAATGTTGGGCTATAAAGGAACTACAGCACGGTCACATGACTTCACCACCGCTAAGCTAAAGGTGGCTAATGTTGGGCTATAAAGGAACTACAGCACGGTCACATGACTTCACGTCACCACCGCTAAGCTAAAGGAGGCTAATGTTGGGCTATAAAGGAACTACAGCAAGGTCACATGACTTCACGTCATCACCGCTAAGCTAAAGGAGGCTAATGTTGGGCTATAAACGAACTACAGCACGGTCACATGACTTCACGTCACCACCGCTAAGCTAAAGGTGGCTAATGTTGGGCTATAAAGGAACTACAGCACGGTCACATGACTTCACCACCGCTAAGCTAAAAGAGGCTAATGTTGGGCTATAAAGGAACTACAGCACAGTCACATGACTTCACGTCACCACCGCTAAGCTAAAGGTGGCTAATGTTGGGCTATAAAGGAACTACAGCACGGTCACATGACTTCACGTCACCACCGCTAAGCTAAAGGAGGCTAATGTTGGGCTATAAAGGAACTACAGCACGGTCATATGACTTCACGTCACCACCGCTAAGCTAAAGGTGGCTAATGTTGGGCTATAAAGGAACTACAGCACGGTCACATGACTTCACGTCACCACCGCTAAGCTAAAGGTGGCTAATGTTGGGCTATAAAGGAACTACAGCACGGTCACATGACTTCACGTCACCACCGCTAAGCTAAAGGAGGCTAATGTTGGGCTATAAAGGAACTACAGCACGGTCACATGACTTCACCACCGCTAAGCTAAAGGTGGCTAATGTTGGTCTATAAAGGAACTACAGCACGGTCACATGACTTCACGTCACCACCGCTAAGCTAAAGGAGGCTAATGTTGGGCTATAAAGGAACTACAGCACGGTCACATGACTTCACGTCATCACCGCTAAGCTAAAGGCGGCTAATGTTAGGCTATAAAGGAACTATAGCACGGTCACATGACTTCACGTCACCACCGCTAAGCTAAAAGAGGCTAATGTTGGGCTATAAAGGAACTACAGCACGGTCACATGACTTCACGTCACCACCGCTAAGCTAAAGGAGGCTAATGTTGGGCTATAAAGGAACTAGAGCACGGTCACATGACTTCACGTCACCACCGCTAAGCTAAAGGTGGCTAATGTTGGGCTATAAAGGAACTACAGCACGGTCACATGACTTCACGTCACCACCGCTAAGCTAAAGGAGGCTAATGTTGGGCTATAAAGGAACTACAGCACGGTCACATGACTTCACGTCATCACCGCTAAGCTAAAGGCGGCTAATGTTGGGCTATAAAGGAACTACAGCACGGTCACATGACTTCACGTCACCACCGCTAAGCTAAAGGTGGCTAATGTTGGGCTATAAAGGAACTAGAGCACGGTCACATGACTTCACGTCACCACCGCTAAGCTAAAGGTGGCTAATGTTGGGCTATAGAGGAACTACAGCACGGTCACATGACTTCATGTCACCACCGCTAAGCTAAAGGAGGCTAATGTTGGGCTATAAAGGAACTACAGCACGGTCACATGAATTCACGTCACCACCGCTAAGCTAAAGGAGGCTAATGTTGGGCTATAAAGGAACTACAGCACGGTCACATGACTTCACGTCACCACCGCTAAGCTAAAGGAGGCTAATGTTGGGCTATAAAGGAATTACAGCACGGTCACATGACTTCACGTCCCCACCGCTAAGCTAAAGGAGGCTAATGTTGGGCTATAAAGGAACTACAGCACGGTCACATGACTTCACGTCACCACCGCTAAGCTAAAGGAGGCTAATGTTGGGCTATAAAGGAACTACAGCACGGTCACATGACTTCACGTCACCACCGCTAAGCTAAAAGAGGCTAATGTTGGGCTATAAAGGAACTACAGCACGGTCACATGACTTCACGTCACCACCGCTAAGCTAAAGGAGGCTAATGTTGGGCTATAAAGGAACTACAGCACGGTCACATGACTTCACGTCATCACCGCTAAGCTAAAGGCGGCTAATGTTAGGCTATAAAGGAACTACAGCACGGTCACATGACTTCACGTCACCACCGCTAAGCTAAAAGAGGCTAATGTTGGGCTATAAAGGAACTACAGCACGGTCACATGACTTCACGTCACCACCGCTAAGCTAAAGGAGGCTAATGTTGGGCTATAAAGGAACTAGAGCACGGTCACATGACTTCACGTCACCACCGCTAAGCTAAAGGTGGCTAATGTTGGGCTATAAAGGAACTACAGCACGGTCACATGACTTCACGTCACCACCGCTAAGCTAAAGGTGGCTAATGTTGGTCTATAAAGGAACTACAGCACGGTCACATGACTTCACGTCACCACCGCTAAGCTAAAGGTGGCTAATGTTGGGCTATAAAGGAACTACAGCACGGTCACATGACTTCACGTCACCACCGCTAAGCTAAAGGAGGCTAATGTTGGGCTATAAAGGAACTACAGCACGGTCACATGACTTCACGTCACCACCGCTAAGCTAAAGGAGGCTAATGTTGGGCTATAAAGGAACTACAGCACGGTCACATGACTTCACGTCACCACCGCTAAGCTAAAGGAGGCTAATGTTGGGCTATAAAGGAACTACAGCACGGTCACATGACTTCACCACCGCTAAGCTAAAGGTGGCTAATGTTGGGCTATAAAGGAACTACAGCACGGTCACATGACTTCACGTCACCACCGCTAAGCTAAAGGAGGCTAATGTTGGGCTATAAAGGAACTACAGCAAGGTCACATGACTTCACGTCATCACCGCTAAGCTAAAGGAGGCTAATGTTGGGCTATAAAGGAACTACAGCACGGTCACATGACTTCACGTCACCACCGCTAAGCTAAAGGTGGCTAATGTTGGGCTATAAAGGAACTACAGCACGGTCACATGACTTCACCACCGCTAAGCTAAAAGAGGCTAATGTTGGGCTATAAAGGAACTACAGCACAGTCACATGACTTCACGTCACCACCGCTAAGCTAAAGGTGGCTAATGTTGGGCTATAAAGGAACTACAGCACGGTCACATGACTTCACGTCACCACCGCTAAGCTAAAGGTGGCTAATGTTGGGCTATAAAGGAACTACAGCACGGTCACATGACTTCATGTCACCACCGCTAAGCTAAAGGAGGCTAATGTTGGGCTATAAAGGAACTACAGCACGGTCACATGACTTCACGTCACCACCGCTAAGCTAAAGGAGGCTAATGTTGGGCTATAAAGGAACTACAGCACGGTCACATGACTTCACCACCGCTAAGCTAAAGGTGGCTAATGTTGGGCTATAAAGGAACTACAGCACGGTCACATGACTTCACGTCACCACCGCTAAGCTAAAGGAGGCTAATGTTGGGCTATAAAGGAACTACAGCACGGTCACATGACTTCACGTCATCACCGCTAAGCTAAAGGCGGCTAATGTTAGGCTATAAAGGAACTACAGCACGGTCACATGACTTCACGTCACCACCGCTAAGCTAAAAGAGGCTAATGTTGGGCTATAAAGGAACTACAGCACGGTCACATGACTTCACGTCACCACCGCTAAGCTAAAGGTGGCTAATGTTGGGCTATAAAGGAACTACAGCACGGTCACATGACTTCACGTCACCACCGCTAAGCTAAAGGAGGCTAATGTTGGGCTATAAAGGAACTAGAGCACGGTCACATGACTTCACGTCACCACCGCTAAGCTAAAGGTGGCTAATGTTGGGCTATAAAGGAACTACAGCACGGTCACATGACTTCACGTCACCACCGCTAAGCTAAAGGAGGCTAATGTTGGGCTATAAAGGAACTACAGCACGGTCACATGACTTTAGTCGTCTCATTTAGACAGTTGTAGTGTACTCAAGTGTGTGTGTGTGTCCTCAGTCTGTGTTCCTGTACTCAGGTGTGTGTGTGTGTGTGTGTGTGTGTGTGTGTGTGTCTCTGTGTGTGTGTGTGTCTCTGTGTGTGTGTGTGTGTGTGTGTGTGTGTGTGTGTGTGTGTGTCTGTGTCTGTGTCTGTGTGTGTGTGTGTGTGTGTGTGTGTCCTCAGACCTGCGCAGGATCACAGCAGGGTTCTTGGGCATGGCAGTAGCAGTGCTGCTGTGCGGATGCATCGTGGCGTCAGTGGGTTTCTACTGGGAGGAGAGTCTCACCCAGCATGTGTCCGGACTGCTGTTCCTCATGGCAGGTGGGGGTCATTCTGATTATTAATATAATACTTAATAAATATCAATTATATTTGATGAAATAATGACTGCTGTTCCTCATTTAGTTGGAATGCTGATACAGCATTCCCACTATGTGTTCTTTGATGCACGAAATTCTTTATTATTCCGCCGGGTTATTTTGCGCCTCTTCTTCTCCCACATTCCACATCGCAGAAAATCAGTTCAAACATCAAAACGTTCAGCTCGGTCGGGAATCAATGACTATTACTTTTCTCATTCATAACTTTCATAATTCCAGAGATACATCCCATAATGCATCACATTTTTAACATGGAAGTCAATGGAGAAACTCTTCAGACTTCAACAATCTTCATGTGACTTCAACTGCTAACTGTTCATTCATACTTTCACTCAGAAACCTCATTCCCACTTTAAAATGTTACACATCTTTCTGACATTATTCGTGTAACACAACTTTTAAATCAGATTCATACTTTTAGAGATATTAAACATTGTTCAGACCTTGGTGAAGAGGCCTTCTTAAGATTTAGAGTGCGTGATGTCACAGCTAGTGGAGTGGAGGACAGATTTAATTTTGCCTTCATATTTTCTTTTAAACCTGCCATAATTCCCAAACCCTACATTCCTGAGACATAATTTTATTAAGCAAAATAATTAAACAAAATGCCTCTTGAGGGCATGAAGTGGCAAAAACGTTCAACATGTCTCCATTAAAGCCCATTGTAAGTTCAGGCTCATCTTTCCCCACCACAGCAGCCGCACACCTTTAGTTAAACTGCCAAAAAGGCCACATTATTAACCCGAAAGTACACAAAAAGCACACTTCAGATACTCAAGTTCCTTGACATGCTTCACGCTTTGAAATTTCACAGATATCTGTTATCGTTCTTCAACAAAACGTTCACATGTAAGAGGTTTATCTCTCATTCAGAACAATGGAAACCTTTGATCTCTGGACACGTCGTTAGCTCAAATATAAACACCTGTGTCATGGAACACGATGATGTCATAACTCCAACTGACATGCTCAGAGCAGCAGACTTCAGATAATGGTTAATGGTCCTGCCCTCAACAGCTCTACGTCAATTATGGGGTGTCATCATATGCCGTTTCCATGGAAACGCATCCCTCGCCATAAAACATGATGTCGCTGTAACTCCAATGGACACGGTCCGATCGTCCCCAAACTTCGCTTGTATAGCACCGGTCCATGCCTCAACAGCTCTACGCCAAATCTGAGATCTCACCATAGGCTGTTTCCATAGAAACGCATCCCTCGCCAAAAAACACAATGTTGTCGTAACTGATATGAAAATGGTCAAAACACCACCAGACTTCAGATGACAGTTAATGGTCCAGCCCTCAACATGTCTATGTGCCATTATTGAGTTTTCCTCAAAAGCTGTTGCCATGGCAACGCATCTCTCGCCGTAAAACACGATATTGCTCAAACTTCACGTGTGCTAACAGTCCAGCCGTGAAGACATCTACGTGACAGTTTTGAAATTTCTTCAAATGCCGTTGCCATGGCAACACAATGCTCGCTATGAAACACGGTTTCTCATAACTTCAGTGAAAATGCTCCAAACGGCCCAAAACTTCACAGGTTTGGTAACGATGCAGCCATCAAAACATCTAAGCGTATTATGGGGTGTCATCAAATACCGTTGCCATGGCGACAGATCATTTGTCATCAAGTTAGTTCAATAGTTTGCAGTTCAAATATTCTGCTGCTTTTCCAAACCTTTTTACTTTCTTTTCTCTCATCACACATTCAAGCCCCCAGTGTTCATGTATCATCTCAATCTCAATTCTTCACTTTCTTCTTACACATTACATTTCAGCATAGCAGTTCAGCATCAGCTTTTCAGCATAAAGCATTCCCACTAGCAATTTCTTCAGGAAATGCATTCTCTAGTTGTGACTGCTGTTATGATAATACTTTATGATATCTGAGAAAACAATAACTGTTGTTATTGTCTCCCCCTGACCTCCCTGTGCTTCTGTTTCTTCTTCGTTGGTGTCAGGGGTGTTCTGCACCATCTCCCTGTGCACGTATGCAGCCAGCGTGACCTACGACCTCTCCAGGAACCCCCCCTTCATCTACGGGCTGCCCCCTGACGTGGACCACGGGTTCGGATGGTCTCTCTGCTGCGCCGGGGCGAGCCTGACCCTCAGCGCCGCCGCAGGCTGCCTGGGAGCCGCCGCCCCCTTCCTGCGCGGCGAGACGGGGGTCAAGAGCAGGGCGAGCTCCGTCTGAGCTGTCAATCAGAGGGTCATGTGACCAGCTGTCAATCAGAGGGTCCTCCTTCTGAGCTGTCAATCAGAGGGTCCTCCGTCCGAGCTGTCAATCAGAGGGTCCTCCGTCCGAGCTGTCAATCAGAGGGTCATCTGACCAGCTGTCAATCAGAGGGTCATCTGACCAGCTGTCAATCACCCGGGTCATGTGACGAGCTGTCATTCAAGATTCAAGGCTTTGAATGTCATTTGTACATAGCTACAGTTTAGATATGTCAATGAAAATCTGAGGTCACAGGCTCCTCCTCCAACAGATTTACCGGGTCATGTTTGAGCTGTCAATCAACCGGGTCATGTTTGAGCTGTCAATCAACCGGGTCATGTGACCGAGTCTCTAATGTAACGCACTGTTAACCTGAAGCAAAGTGTTTGTAAGACTGTGTGTCCACACACACACACACACTCTATCAGTATTCAGGACTCTGTGGCTGCAGTGATGTTCAGGTGCACTGCGGTACACTGTGACATCACTTCTGGGCGTAGCCAATCACAGCCTCTCATTATGCTAACCTCCTCTCAGCCAATCAGGGCAAGCTGAACATATGTATGACCTTCCCCCCCTCATGTTGTCAGAGTTAATGCCCCCCCCCCCCCCCAGGAGAGAAGTTAGCGTAATGTAGAGCACCAGAGCAGCTAACGTGCTAACAAGCTAGCTGCAGCAGCTAACGTGCTAACAGGCTAACTGCAGCCAATCAGAATACACCAATGTGTGCACTTTATAACCCCCGCCCTGCATAACCTGCACGTTTATTATGACGTGAGAAACAGGTTCACCTCAGAGGACTTCAGGGGCTCCAACAGGGGAACATCAGCCCCACTGCATGCTGGGAGGAATCTGTAAATACCACTCTCACATTACATTACATTACATTACATTACATCACATGTCACATGTTAGACGCTTTTATCCAAAGCGACTCACATACTCAGTACTGTGGGCAATCCCCACAGGAGCACTTTGGGGTGAAGTGTCTCAGGGACACAACGACATGCTGACTGCAGTGGGGCTTGAACCTGTGCTCCCCTGATCCCAACACCAACGCAGTAGTCCACTGCGCCACTGACCCCCCCACTCTGTAAATACCAAACTGACCCCCCCACTCTGTAAATACCAAACTGACCCCCCCACTCTGTAAATACCAAACTGACCCCCCCACACAGGAAACTGATAATTAATTATAAATATATAAGAGCAGGAGTCCCACAGATTTCAGCCTGCAGCCACAATAACCCAGAGTACACATAAATATATATAAATATATATAAATATCCCTTATTCAACAGGGTCCGTCTGACGCTGAGATGTTATGGTGATGATGGTGATGGTGATGATGATGATCTTGTTGATGTTGTTGATGATGATGATGATGATGTCACAACACACACTGTAGGGCTGTCGGAAGGAAACAGCAGTAAGTCTGGAGACTGTCTGACTCAGCGTTAGCTCAGAGTTAGCTCAGAGTTAGCTCTGCGTAAGCTCAGTGTTAGCTCAGAGTTAGCTAACGCAGCGTCCACACGTCAGCGTGTCTGAAGCTCGACCAACACCCAATCACATGAATCTCCCACCCCGGACACACAAGCACGCGGTTTGATTGGCTAGAGCTTGTACTGGCATATGATTTGATTGGCTGACGCTTCCGTCGAATCTTCAAAAGTTGACATTTTCTCAACTTTCAAGCAAAGCGAAGCGACGGAACCACAATGCAGTTCGGCAAAGCGTGACGTCACCCCATTCAAAGTGAAGGGGAAGAAGCGTTGAAGCTTCAACGCACGCCGCCATGTGGACGGACCGTAAGCGTTGGCTCAAAATTAACTCAGCATTAGCTCAGAGTTAGCTCAGTGTTAGCGCAGCGTTGGCACAGCTCTGATAGCTCAGAGTTAGCGCAGCGTTAGCACAGCTCTGATAGCTCAGAGTTAGCTCAGCATTAGCTCAGAGTTAGCTCAGCTCTGATAGCTCAGCTTTAGCTCAGTGTTAGCTCAGTGTTAGCTCAGAGTTAGCTCAGCATTAGCTCAGCTCTGACCCAGACGTCCCAGCACTAAACCCTTCCTCAGTATAAACACAGAGTTAAAGCAGCAGGATGTAAACGTGATTAAACTGAGAGTCAGTTTGTGCAGAGGGTTAGGAGGGCAGGTTTGAGAGAGTACCGCTCCAGACTGCAGGTGTTCAGAGAGATGTTTCAGGGTCACACACACACACACACATGTATATGCAGCGTCTTCTGTTTGCTTATTTAGAGAGTATATGAACTGCAGTCCATGCTGACTCTGAAGAACTCTAACAGACCGGATCAGCTGCTGGGCTCCATGGACTGAGCTGTACCCTCTATTACCCTCTGATACGCCCCCTTTACCCTCTGATACCCTACCTTTACCCTCTGATACCCCCCCTTTACCATCTGATACCCTACCTTTACCCTCTGATACCCCCCCATTACCATCTGATACCCTACCTTTACCCTCTGATACCCCCCCATTACCCTCTATAACCCTCTCATACCCTCTGATACCCCCCCTTTACCCTCTATAACCCTCTCATACCCTCTGATACCCCCCTTTACTCTATAACCCTCTGATACCCCCCCTTTACCCTCTATAACCCTCTGATACCCCCCCTTTACCCTCTGATACCCCCCCTTTACCCTCTATAACCCTCTGATATCCTACCTTTACCCTCTGATACCCCCCCTTTACCCTCTATAACCCTCTGATACCCTACCTTTACCCTCTGATACCCCCCCTTTACCCTCTATAACCCTCTGATACCCTACCTTTACCCTCTGATACCCCCCCCTTTACCCTCTATAACCCTCTGATACCCTACCTTTACCCTCTGATACCCCCCCTTTACCCTCTATAACCCTCTGATATCCTACCTTTACCCTCTATTACCCTACCTTTACCCTCTGATACCCTCTAATACCCCTCTCATACCCCCTGATACCCTCTCATTCCCCCTGATACCCTCTCATACCCCCCCTGATACCCCCTCTCTTGACCCCCTGATACCCTATCATACCCCCTTTCTTGACCCTCTGATACCCCCTCTCATATCCCCTGATACCTCCTCTCTTGACCCTCTCATACCCTCTGATACCCCCCTCTCTTGACCCTCTGATACCCCCTCTCTTGACCCTCTCATTCCCCCTGATACCCTCTCTCTTGACCCTCTCATTCCCCCTGATACCCTCTGATACCCCCTCTCTTAACCCTCTCATTCCCCCTGATACCCCCTCTCATAGCCCCTGATACCCTCTCATTCCCTCTGATACCCTCTCTGCTGCCCTCTGCTGGCCGTCCAGCTGTAGATAAAGCCCAGCTGTGTTTCCAGATGTTATAATCACGTGATGCTCTGTAGTCCAATAAACACCAGTGACTGTGACTCCTGTGGATGTTTACCTATCATATCATTTACAGGTCAAACTAAATAAAGAATATATGAGTGCTTTCAGAAACAACAGAGAGCTTGCTGTGTTGGTGCCGAACAGAAACAGAGTCAAATAATGAGATAGTCATATGCAGATATAATGAGAAGTCAGAGATCAGGAAACAACATATGTTTACATTTTTAATAGAAATGTGTTTGATAATCCTGAAGAGGGGTCTTTATACTGCTGTTAATAACCGGGGTTTAGCTGCAGTACCGCCGGGGGCCGCGGGGGACAGCTGACGTCACTGCCACGCGCACACCCACTCAGATCCCCGCCCATCTACGTCAGTCTGCCAAGTGCGCATGTGCATTCTGCTCCACAGTACCGCACACCGGAGACACAACAACCGACCGTCCGGTAAATAGAGACTGACAGGAGCCCGGGGAGAGTCGTGAGAGAGACCGGGGAAAGAGCACCGAGAGGCCAGGGAGAGAGCACCGAGAGACCGGGTACAGAACACCGAGAGGCCGGGGAGAGAGCACCGAGAGACCGGGGAGAGAGCACCGAGAGACCGGGGACAGAGCACCGAGAGACCGGGGACAGAGCACCGAGAGGCTGGGGGGAGAGCATCGAGAGACCGGGGACAGAGCACCGAGAGACCGGGGAGAGAGCACCGGGAGACCGGGGAGAGAGCACCGAGAGACCGGGGACAGAGCACCGAGAGACCGGGTACAGAACACCGAGAGGCCGGGGAGAGAGCACCGAGAGACCGGGGAGAGAGCACCGAGAGACCGGGGACAGAGCACCGAGAGACCGGGGACAGAGCACCGAGAGGCTGGGGGGAGAGCATCGAGAGACCGGGGACAGAGCACCGAGAGACCGGGGAGAGAGCACCGGGAGACCGGGGAGAGAGCACCGAGAGACCGGGGACAGAGCACCGAGAGACCGGGGAGAGAGCACCGAGAGACCGGGGACAGAGCACCGAGAGACCGGGGACAGAGCACCGAGAGACCGGGGACAGTGCACCGAGAGACCGGGGACAGAGCACCGTGAGACCGGGGAGAGAGCACCGAAAGACCGGGGACAGAGCACCGAGAGACCGGGGACAGAGCATCGAGAGACCGGGGACAGTGCACCGAGAGACCGGGGACAGAGCACCGAGAGACAGTGCACCGAGAGACCGGGGACAGAGCACCGAGAGACCGGGGAGAGAGCACCGAAAGACCGGGGACAGAGCACCGAGAGACCGGGGACAGAGCATCGAGAGACCGGGGACAGAGCATCGAGAGACCGGGGACAGAGCATCGAGAGACCGGGGACAGAGCACCGAGAGACCGGGGAGAGAGCACTGAGAGACCGGGGAGAGAGCACTGAGAGACCGGGGACAGAGCATCGACAGACCGGGGAGAGAGCACCGAGAGACCGGGGACAGAGCACCGAGAGACCGGGGACAGAGCACCGAGAGACCGGGGACAGTGCACCGAGAGACCGGGGACAGAGCACCGAGAGACCGGGGACAGAGCACCGAGAGACCGGGGACAGAGCATCGAGAGACCGGGGAGAGAGCACCGAGAGACCGGGGACAGAGCACCGAGAGACCGGGGACAGAGCACCGAGAGACCGGGGACAGAGCACCGAGAGACCGGGGACAGAGCACCGAGAGACCGGGGACAGAGCATCGACAGACCGGGGAGA